AATAAATTTTATCCTAACAATGCAACAATCGTGCAGAATATTATGATGCAGAAGGATACATAATACTTTTGAGTAGCAATTTCTTTCCAAGAAACTTTTCTCTTGGAATTATGAATTATTTTTCACTGATTTGTCATAGTACTTCTGATCTCATACCTTGAAAATTACAATAATTTTTCATGTTGGAATTTTTAGCGATTGTTTTTCTTGTTGTTTAATAGTTGCTGTTATTTGTTAATATTTTTTGCATATATTACAGAAAATTCATTGCCATTCATTTCTCATTTCTTGTTTCTTGTTTCTAATATTCATGCTAATGCTTCGATATAATAAAACATTAGGAAAAATTTTTGCTGTAAAGTGTAGCTTCCTTTAAGCTCACAAATGCAGTGAAAAGGAAACGGAAATGGTTGTTGCATGAAAAATTATTGCACAAAAAGACGAAAGGCAAATGTTGCAAGAGAAAATATATCAACAAAAACAAAAAATTTGCAAAAACAAAAAAAATAATTTTAAATTTAGTTTCACTCTAAATTCAGTCTAAATTCACTACAAATTACGTAAATACTCGTCTTTTTATGAGTTTCGTATTTTTTATTTACACAAAATAACAACAAATTTATAAAAATTTTTCACGCTCTCATACTTTTGGGTAACAAATTTTTTTTCTGCTCAACTTTTAACTCAACTTTTAAACAAAATTATACATTATTTATTCATTTTATTTTTGTTAAGTGGCAGCAATTCAGTTACAATAAAAAATGGAAACTGTTAAAAATGCTTACGAAAAAGTACAGAAAAATACAAAACTTTTTTAAATTCATTTTTAAGTGTGCACTTGCCGATGTTTTGTCCTTGCTTAAGGTGTCCTTACAACCATAGTTGTGTAATACTGTTCAACGTATGCAAGTGTATGTGTATATGGGTATATTTATGTGCGAAGGTGTTCATGTTGCCACAACAACCGCAGCGTCATTTAAAAGTTGATCCTTTGATGGTATTCACGATAAAGCACTCGCATCGTAAATCCTCGTACTTAGAAGGGAATATCTCTGACTCATTTTTAAATTTAAGGCATAATGATAAACTAGCAGCTAAGCTGGCAAGTTCATTGAACAATTCTCATCTTTAGCTTTATGTGGGAAATCAGGAAATATGTTATCATTTTTCATTTTTAATTCAGAATATGTGCGCTTTTTTATTTTTAAACACTTCAAAAAGTTTTTATTCACTATAACCGGGGAACGGATCAAAGTAAAATATATGTGATGCGATTATAATTTAAGGGGAACTCTTAACAGTACAGCAGTTTCCCAAGTTCATGTATAGTAATTTCATAACTAAGTACTGAGGTCGAATCGTTGCACTTAAAGTATAAATTAAATTATAAATTATATTTAGTTCACTGTACAAATTTTTCATTTAAAAACATTGCTTTAATAGGGATATTTTTAACATAAAACCTAGAAGGACATTTTTTTTTTGGACTATAAAAAGTAAAGCTATCTCAACACTATTGAGTAGAGAGCATATCATCTTAAAAGATGATTTTGTTTGATGTGAGAGTATAGCATTTGTATCAGGAAAATTGTACGACTTCTAGTTATATTCTTTATCAGAGCTGTTCAGACGAGATAAGACCGCGAAAAATAAATACATACGCTCATAGTTCTATATAATTCACCGAAATGACAGCATGTCGTCCATTTCCCAAAAATTATAGTACTTTTAGTCATATTCTACCCAACGTAGATCTGGGTCATTAAGAAAATATTAAGATTGAATTTTGGGTCCCAACAATAAGTTAATGTGTTTTTCATTTGATATGTTTTATACAGTTTCTTATAATAAAAACTATCTGCTGAGGTTGCAGTACACGGGAACCTAACATATGTTTGTACTATCTACTAACGATATTTTCAACAAAAAATTTTGTTTAAATATTCCATGCAACTAAATAATATGGGGCACGGGATTTTTAATTATGCGATAAGTTGGTAAAAATATTTTAAATGATTCTACATATATTTTGTATTTGTAGAATCATTTTATTTTGTAGCTGTAATGTTATCTATAAAGTTTAATCTTTTAAATTATGTATGTATTTTTGTATTAGTAAACGAGTTATTGTTGATATTTAGATAAGACCTGCTAGATTAAAGACCAATTTGATAAATAAATTTGATAAAGTTACCCATAATAATAAAAGAATGGTTCAAAATATAAGAAGTACTGAATGAGTTGAAGGCACGTGTTATAATTTTTTCGACAAAATCAAAAAAAAACCTGATAAAATATAAGCAGATTATAAGCTCGTTATAGCTAATTTCAGTAGTATAAACTGCAGATTGTTTAAAACACACAAAAACTTAACGATCAATTAAGAACACTAGAAGATCGAATTATGCGTATTAATGCAGATTACTTACTTTGAAAATAGTTCATAATAAATAGGGAGTTTCTTTTTTTATGGCTTAAAGACGTATGCCACAAGATTAAGATATGATAGACATGATAAATCATCGAAAACTCACACGGATATGACCAAAAATGTAGTATTGCCTTTCTACCGTAAAGCCAAATATAACGAAATAATTTGATGGTTTAAAAATCGTCTCTATTTAAGTCGGAGTGTTGGGTATGCATCACTACTTATCATTACATATTAACTATTATTAAGAAAAGAAGTGAATTATTAGAAAAATACATAATTCTAAAAATCAAAAAAATAGAACTATTTTAAAAATTTGTTTTTGTCAAAGTTGGTCTTTGATTATTTAATTATCACTTCAACATAAAAAATAAAGTTGACGGATGAAGTGATACTTTTAATGATAATTAATTTTTAACTCGTGTTAACAGTAAAATAAGTGAATATTTTATATGGAAAAAAATTTACTACTCATAAGTGTAAATAATTGCTTTCGTCATTGAGTCAACTGTCTGGAAGTTCCCTAAATGTATAAACTATATCTGAAAATTTGTGAAATGGTTGATGGAGAGGTTTTGAACAGAAGTGAATTGTAATAAAATTAATTTTTATTTTTTTTTAATTAATTGAATTTTTGGCTGACCATACATCTGCCTCGAGTATTGGCAAATACATATTATTAGTAGTCTTGGAATTACTTTATATATTTAATTATTCATAAGTAGTTTATTGAGACTAAAATTTATCCTGCCAAATTTGAAGTTCATAATCAGTGTTCATTAGCCAACGGACTCAAAGCCGTACTTGACTTATATATTCCAATTTGGAGTTTTGTTATTTTCTGTGAAAGTTCATTAACAAATTTACTGGCTGTGTTGTATTGGAATTAAATCATAAACCAGCTGTAGAATGATTAATTAATTAATTATAATTATTTTTAAATGTATCTTATATTCATAGTTAAATTTTCCTTTTCATTTTTACCTTAAATCGGAGTACATCTCCAACAATTTTACTAAACAACATTCCCATACCACAAGCAGATAATATAACGTACTTAGGTATCCATCTAGACAGACGACTAACTTGACGCAAACATATTGAAGCCAAAAAAATTCAAATGAAGCTCCAAGCCTCTAAGTTGCATTGGCTCATTAATAGCAGATCTTCCCTGTGCCTAGAGTTTAAAGTACTCTTGTATAACAGCATCATAAAACCAATATGGACTTATGGTATCCAGCTATTTGGCAATGCTAGTGCTTCAAATATTGAAATTATACAAAGAGTTCAGTCAAAAATACTAAGAATTATCACTGGTGCCCCATGGTATATTAGGAATGAAAGTATACACCGAGATCTACAAATTCCCCTAGTTAAAGCTGAATTTGACAATATAAGAAAAAAATACAATAAAAGCTGACAGAGCATGTTAATCCCTTAGCAAGAAATCTCGCACTTTTATCCATTACTTCCCGTCTAAAAAGAGCTGACCGTCCATCCGTTAATTAATATTCAACAGCTTGAAGTAAAAACCGCACCTTTCTTTTTAGTAATCTGTTAAAGTTGAACCACTTTCTTAAGAAACCACCTAACATTCACTCTAATGAAATTTAACCCATTAATCTAAGTGAGGTTCGTGATATAAGGTTTACTTATTTTATTTTATTTTATACAATTTATAATTAAAATAAAAATTTGTAACATTATGTAATTAGTTATAAGATTTTACAACTTATTGTTAGTCTCATTTTAAGAGAAGATGCAATAAATAAATGTATGTTTAAAAAAAAAAAAAAAAAATGTTTTATAATTAAATTATAATTGAATATTTAATATTTAGTAATTAATAAATAAATTATTTAAAATTGAAATTTAAGTTTATGAATGAATTTTTATAACCAAACAATTTTGTAAATCATAATTTAATTAATTCAATAAAATATGATAGCTTCTTTTGTTGAGGGTAGCACGGAGGTGGAAAGTGAAACTTAGTACAGGAGCTCAAACGAGGGCGTTTGAAATTAGTAGGGAAGGATTTAGCACCTGCGTCTCCTGCATCCGGCATTAGACTTAGTTTCATTAAAGGAGTAATCATGCGATATTATTTGAACGCATGATTGCTACTAAACGGGTCATCATCTGATTTGGCTGGAAAAGTCTCGTTTGAATTCGGCAGCTCTTAAGTCCATAAAAAGTTGCTCGTTCAATACTACTTGGGCTATTTATCGAACCACAGGTTCAAAATTTATATTGTCTGAACTTAATTAAAACACGTGTGATAAAATTACGTTTAAAAATTGAAATTACAATTAAAATATTATATTATTATTATTAAAAATTTGAAATTAAAATTAAAAGTACTATTAACTTATATATACCGAGCGCGTCATTCGAACTCCTGAACAACCCTTATAAGTATTTTCCATTTGACAGTATATTGCATAAACCATTTTCTGTTTGATTTCATTTATAAATTATTATTTGTAATGAATCAAGTAAAAGAAATACTTTAATCGTTATATAAACATAAAATTAAAATTACGAGTTTTAATCAATATTTTTATTTCAGCTTGTTGGTTCTGCCTGTGGACATGGTCTCGAATTATTTCATAAAAATCCGAGCTTGATGTACGACAAAATCATAGTAGCTAGCTGCAATTTTGAACACTTGAAAGTCAATGGTAATATTTATTTGGTAGGCAGTTTTGGTGGATATTTCAGTACAGTTTTAATGAATATAGTGCAACCATCATATTCTGCAGCAGACGAAATTCAAATGGCGTATACAAAAATATTTTCAAATATTGAATTTCCAATTAACTTTCAGATCAATTTTAATACAATTAGTGAGATACCTGTGAGTCAGTTTATTACAATGAATACCGCACAAAGTATAAATCTTTCAGTATTAGAACATTACGTATATTTCGAAGAGGTCAAATTAGCAGGATTGTATAATGAAATTGATATTAAAAGACTATTCAATAACAGAGTTAAAGTAAACAGCCAACAAAATATACCGGAAATGCAGTTTAATCTTGCACATTCCTTAATTGTTCAGAATATAAACATTTCGAGCAGTTTAAATGATGTATTTGTTGAAAGATACCAAACGTTTAAAAAGAATTTTCATGTGGATATAGTTTTTCTGACCGTATTGCAAACAGATATTTTGAATTTTCAACGACACATATATGGAAATGCAATTTTAAATGGTATAGAGTTGCAAGATTTCCTGAATCATAATAAAACTATTAATTTAAGTAATATGTTCCTAAATGAATTAATACTAAATGGCACGGTAAATACAGATCAACTACATCGCATTCATGAATACTATTTTTTTAATTTTCTAAATCGAATTCACGAACTACCCGGAATGATCCTAAATGGTAAAATTCAAGTTGAACACTTCATAGCTACTGGAGATATACAGCTTAGTAGACTCAATGGTCGCAAATTTGATGAAGAATTTCAATTAACAGTAATATGGTTAAACCGATCAAATCATTTGGGTAGCTACTTATATTTTTTTGAGCCTATTCCGATCCAGATTGATTTATCGATTTTGGAAAGATTTAATACATATAATTTCTTCAATTTACTGAATGATATAATTTTTTGCGCATCTGACCGAACGACAATAATACTGCCACATGAGAGTTTTCAATACAACGTATATGTGTATGATAATTCAAAATTAGATGCTATTAAGGGATTACAAGTTCAGTTAATTATAACTAAGGAAAGTGTGAAAAAATTTTATGGAACTTTGGACATACATGGCAATTTATTTACACAGAGCTTTAAAACGAAAAAAATAATGAATATATATCCGATCTTAGATATGAGCAAATTGATTCATTATAATAAGGAATGGAAATATTTTGAATTAGTAGGAGATACTGCATTTTATCAGCAAATAAATCTCAATGATTTCAATGTATCTGAATATTTTGGAGGTTTAAATAGATTGTATGGATTCTTTAAAGAATTTTTGTTAAAAAATAATATTTATGACTTGAAAGGTAAAAATACTTTTATTGGTAAAGTCACAATAAACGACGGGATTTTTATAGATACTTTTAATGAATACAATCTAGAGAATACACTAAACAATATTGCATTTATACACGATTTATCGACTGTACTTTTAAAGTGCAACGTTGCTTTTCACGCAAGTGTTTCCGTACGTTCTGTCGCTGTATCTCATGATCTGAATACTACAATTTTACGCGATTGTTCATTGAAGGAATGGTTACTTGAAATATTGCTAGTTGATCGATTTCAAAACATTAATCGTAAGTAAAATGTGTATATAATCAAACATAATTTTATATGTAGCATACGCACATTATGTAAAAACTATTATTTTATCCAATTTTTTTCTTATATATTGATTTATTAGGGTTGACATTTAAGGCAGGTGTCTTGGACAACAATTCATTTAATGTACATTTTTTGAATAATACCAATTTATCAAACATGATATATATATATTTGGAACAATATTTAGCTATACCGGTTTACTTGTCAACAATTCAGTTAAGGCATCGAGTTATTACTAAGGGATTGGTTAATAATCTAAACTTATTGAAGGAGCGTAATGTTATAATATTTGTTATTTAATTGAAATTGTAAATATAATCATAATTAGCTTTGTTTATTATATAGTTACCATTGTGGTTTTGTGATGTAACAAATTAAAAGTTTTTTTTGCTTATGTACTGCTAGAAATATCTTGATTTATCAACATTATTATAAGGGACACATTATTAATAAAAACATTGGTAACATTTTTAAGTATAAGAAAAAAATTATACATATTTATTTGAATTGATTAAATTGAATTACTACATTTAACAGTAACTACTTTTCATTACATTCATCGATATTATATAAATTTGAAAAACATAATTATTCGGCTGATGCTTATAGCTGTTCATATAAGACATCAGCCGCGAGATGTGATGATAGGTGCATTCTTTAAACACAAATGTTCCAATATAACATGTGTTGCTTAAAGATTAACATGACAAGCAAAAACAAAATTCACAAAAACAAGCCCACTGTTCTGAAATTGCTTAACGAATAAGTCACTTGCATTACAATGGTGTCAAATTTTAAAACTGATCTATTGTGAATAATTTTTGGAAAAAAATGAAAAATTCCAGCCAGATAACAAAAAAGTTTGTTTATTATTTGTACCTGTTGCGAGCATTAATGAGTAAATTTATATATTTTAAAACAGTAATTTTTTTAGTAAAATTTGTAAAATCTGACAGATTAGTAATTGTGTAAGTCATTCGATAATTATTTATAAAGGAATTTATAATTTTTGTATTATGTTCGTTAAAAAATGCAATACATGAATAAACACAAAACACTATCTGTTTGGCAAATAGATGACGCATTTGAATATTTTCTATATTTATTATTGTACTTTAAATTATTTTGATGCAAAATCATATGTATATGTTAATTTGTTGGTGTTGTTTCGGCAGCATAATGTTCATAATTGATTGATTGACTTTTGAGTTACCGCCGTGAATTTTAGTTTTAATACTCTTAGCTGCTGAAAGAGCAGCAACACTCTCCTGGCTTACTAACAATCGGTATAATAATATTAAAAAGTTATAAGACAATTGCAAAAAAAATAAAGCAGTGCTAAATATTGTTCTTTTTGCATTAAGTAGTGATTAATAAAACTTTGAAAATTCTATAAACAAATTTATTGACGATATTGTATTGTCAACTGAGGAACTAGACCTATCAAAGATTTCAAATATTTGGTCAATGCGCCGTTCTATTTATATTGTCTTTATTCCACTTTCTTTTTTCTTTATCATAGATAAAGTCTGAAAAAATGTACTTTTATATAAATTCAAATACAATATAAAATGCTCACCAATAACTTTTTCATTTCATTCATTTTATTTATAATTATATAAAAAACTTTTTTATAAAATTATCTGCAGGTATTTTGTTTTCACATGTATTTATCAACCACAAATTTGTTTGAAATTTTTTAACTTGTCATGTGTTTACTGATTATACAGTGATGCCAAGTTATTCTTATGCAATTAGAAGTTGTTCTGTTGGATCAGTTAATGTTAAAAGAATACACTTAATGATGAAAAGCGTAAAACGATTTGAAATAAAAGATTCAAAATTAAATTTAAGATTATGTTAAATATAAGTACAACAGACTTAATCGTTTGTTAAAACTGATACGCTAAGTAAAAGTAGAAACTTAGCGTATCCGTAGAAGAATTTAAAGTTGTAATAAAATTTTAGGAAAATATCTACTTGTTAAACCAGATTTTCATTCTTTGGTTACGGTTAGGAGTAGTTTTTTTGTAGCCAATACAATCAAGTATATATGGATGTGCTTGCTGTATCAGACCGCATCTGCTAAGTGAAATCAAAAAGGTAATATTAGGCTTATGTTGAAACAAATAAAGCCGTTGATATTATAATGAAATAAAAAGCAAGCAATTTTTTATTGTAATATAGAAGTGTACACTCAAAAACAAAGGACTAGCCGCAAACATAGCAGTTCAGTTGGTTTATTGACTAAATGAGTTAAATGTATTGGCTAGAAGTAAAGCATAAAAACGGAATTAAATGAGACACGTTCTTTTGTTGTTATATTGAATCCAGACTCGATTATAGGAACATAGGAAATAAACAAAACTGTTCGCAAAATTAACAAAGATTTGTGTTTGAAAATTTATCGAATATCCCCATCCTTAACCCATTAAGTACCAGGCAAGTTCAAACTTAGAATTTTATGGTGAAATTTTCAGAAAACTCTTATTTTAAGTTTAAAATATTCCCTGCATAAATAAATTTTTTTTTTTGAAAAGAAGTTTTCCGAAAGTGCGGTGGGGCCAACCGCACGCTGGGATCCATAGCACGTTTTTCTCTCATCGATAGTACAAACATTTTTATATGTGTTTTGTTCGCAAATATTGTATTTAGTTTCTTTTATGGTGAAGTAAGTATCATTGTAAGTTGTATAAAGTGCACGTAAGTATAAAATTCAATGTTTTATGCGTTTCAAATATTTATTAATCAAAAAATATATTTGAAGTATAACGTATGTATTGTATTATGTAAAAAGAAATAAGCTTACTTCCGTCGTTGTCTACGATCAATATTATTTATTTTAATATTGTTTATTTTCATGGAAAATTTTACATGACCATTTAAATAACACTTTTCACAGGTAAAAACTTTGGCTTTTGGTGCACAAATAATGCAGCGATGGCGATTTTGAGCTTTTATGGGAGCATGCATACCAGTTACACGTGGTAAATTTCCCGGAAGATAAACATCTTCTGATGCACTGTGACTTTTTTTTACGAATCATCGTAAGCGTTAGCTTTTGTAATGAACATTGAGTTCTCTGATTCAAGAAGAAAGTTTCTGGCAATGAAATTCTTGAAGTCTAACTGCGGCATCGGTTTTCTGTTGTTAGAAGCAGCGACAAAGCAATGTGATTTCCAAGCGTTTACTACAGCGCTATCTAAACACTGAACCCATAATGGCTACCACCACTGTTTGCTTATATTCGCAATATGATAGTTAGCAACTCCATTGCCATATAAATCATCGCCGCCCATATGTCGGCTGTGGGACACCAACCTTTTTTTTTTTGTCTCTAATATAGAGTTGCACATTTAGTATGGGTTCAACAGAATCATACAGTATGATGCAATGAATACTCACAATGGCTCAATAATTTCTTTACAACAAATGCACCGATTCCGAAATGGTTTGTTATATTTGTCAGTTGAACTGGAGTATGGTAGAAACTGGAAGATATATCCACTACCCATAGAAAGGGTTCACAGTTTATAACCGAATCGTATTGGTTTCACAAGTTCCAATGTAAATAGTTGCGACTCAGGCATTTCTACAACACCACTATAATCTTGTGCATTTGACTATGCAGTATGGCAGAAACTGGAAGATGTATCCACTACCCATAGAAAGGGTTCACAGCAAAATTCAAAAGTCGCATGTAATGTTTGTTGATATTTTATCATCGTCAACCATCTTTGCTCCAATTGTCAATAATATGCAATAGTTCCTAAGTTCTAAGATATCTGAGGCACGACATTATAATTTTATTTACAGTAAAAAATTGACGATAAAACTTTTAGCATAAACAAATGTAAGCCTTATATAAAACAATCAAAGACTAACTCAACCAGCAATTAAATATCAAAATAGAATTATTACTATTATACATAGTGAAAAACACAAGTTTAAGTTAATTAGAAGAGTATGATATTTATTAGAGAGATTACTCTTATTTTATTTCATTACCTAAGGACTAAAACTTATATTGCATTATCTTATCATTATAGTACTATGGGACCCAGCGTGTGGTTCCGCCTTTTTTTGCCGGCGTCTGGTGGCGAGTAACTGATACTAAGGCGCCGGCAAAAATAAAAAACATTGAATTAATTACTTTTATATATTTTTAAATAATTTTCAAAGTCAACCGTGTGGTGTACCATATGGAGGTATGAAATGGGTTAGTATCCTACATCTACTAATTGTATTTGAAATAAAAAATAAGTTTTTTTTTTTTCATTTCATTCGTTATTTATTGAATCTTACAATTTAGAAACTAACAAATTTTAAAGCTAAATTTATTTTTTTTCCTAGGCCATTGCTTTGGAAAAAACTATTAAGACATTAAATTATTTATAATTAAATAATATTGAAAATTAACATTGAAATTAAAATAAAATTAAAATTAAGACTAAAATTAAATTAAAATTAATTCAAAAAATCACATTCAATTCAATTAAATAAAATTTATAATATTTTAAATCAAATAAGAAATTTAGAAAGTTAGCAAATGTTAATGTTGTCCTTCCTTTTTAAACGCTTATGGCCTTTGTTCAGTAGCAGCTTGTAGACTGATTTGTTAGGGTGATCTTCTAACTTTAAGAGATACTGACGGCTACATTGAGCAGCTTCTTCAATTACTGTTGATATGCCCAAATCTCTATGAAGGTTGGCGTTTTTTATAAACCATGGTGCACCCGTTATCATTCTTAGGATTTTAGACTGCAGCCTTTGCAGTTTTTCAATATTTGATGGCGTCGCTGTTCCCCACATTTAAATTCCGTAACTCCATTTAGGTTTTATTATCAACTTGTATAGCAGAATTTTGCATTCAAGTGATAGCTTAGATGACATGCCCATAAGCCAATGCAATGAACTTAATTTTATATTTATTTGTGTCTTTTTAGCCTCTATATGTTTATTCCAGGTTAAACGTCTATCTAGATGTATCCCTAAATATTTTACATAGTCGCTCAAGGGTACTGTTTGTTCATTTATTCTAATATTAGGACAGTTGCCTGGTCTTAGAGCAAATGTGATATGGGTACATTTTTGTTCATTTTCTTTGATACGCCTACTGATAACCATTGCTCGAGTTGGTGAATATGATTTTGAAGCATGCTTTGTGCTATTGCGGGGTTTTTGTGTGCACTTAGTATTGCTGTGTCGTCAGCAAATGTTGCAGTTAAAGTGTTTTCCGAAGTTGGCATATCACTTGTATACAGCAGATATAATAGCGGACCTATTACACTTCCTTGTGGAACTCCAGTTTTGATAGGACAAGGTTCTGAAACAAAATCTTTATATCATAAACTAAAAGTTCTTTTGCTTGGGCTACATCTGTAAATATGGAAGTGCAGTATTGTTTATTTTTAAATGAGATTCTTACGAATGATACAATATGATGCACTTGTTCAGTTGTATTATGTTTAGCTCTGAAGCCGAATTGATGCTCCGGAATTATTTCGTTGACTGAGAGTATTGGCATTATTTTTGCAATTAGTAGGTTAGGTTAGGTTATACCGTTGATCCCTAGTGGATCCAGTTAGGCCTATTGGCCCATTGTGATGCCGTATATAAATAATAAAAACCTCAGGGTTTAAAACCACCTAAAACCTTTAGCGAAGCATAAAATGCTATTTAAAGCCCGATCCTGTAACTGATCCAGGTCCTCAAGGAAGGGGGCTCCTAGAGTACTAAATCGCCGACGTGCATGAGCTGGACAAAAACACAATAGATGAGATGCGCTCTCATCGTCCTCCCCACAGCTACGACAGGTTTGGTTGAAAGGAAGACCTAG